AAAAAAAAAAAAAAAAAAAAAAAAAAAAAATGAACAAAGTGATGCCCCAGCTAAAAGTAAACCACAAGAAAAAATTATAACCCTAGAGAGTACCCCTCTAAACTCCATAAAGGACTGTGAAACGTTAGGAGAAATTTTAGCAGCGAGAATACACGAAAGTAAAGCGAAGAGTGTAGCCATAGAAAGGCTGCTCTCCATTATCCTTCCTGCGTGCGAAGTGAAATTAGAAGATAAGGAACTGCAAAGTATTAACAGGAAGATTCAGGAGCTTATTGAAAAGAGGGAAAAGAAAAAAAGGTATGCCCTCATAAATAAGAAAAAACCCAATGAGGTCAAAAATGCTCTTAAGAATTATAAGGATGAGGTCGACATGATTTATGGTGATCTGTCCTACGACGAGGAGGATTACGAGAATGAGGAGGATGCAGAGGAGTTCGCCGAGGACTACTAGCGCAGTTGGTCCGGCTACTCCTTGCTGTCCGTCCTGCTTCCTACCCCCTTTGTTACATACATACATATGTATATATATGTATATGTATGTATATATGTGTGTGCCCTTTTTTTTTCGCTCTCCCCGCCCCTAACCTTTTTGTTAAAAAAAAAAAAAAAAACTAATTAAAGAATAAAAAATTAATGTTCAATTTGGTTGATTCGCGGACAAGTGTAATGTGACTGATCGGACGAACCAACTCGTAAAACTAACCGCCGCGTCTTTGCATTATTAGCATTTCACGATGAAAAACACAGGGTAACAAAAAAAAGTAAAATTAAAAAAAGAATGCCTCTGTGCAGTGGTGAAGAGCTACTCACACACCTGCTAGGTAGAAGTCGCCGCGCTGGGCAAGTATCGCCGTGCTAACTCAAACGCGATGAACTGTCTTTGCTCCTCGGGAGAAAGCTCCCTCCACTGGTGCAGCTTAATTGAAAAGCACTTTATATTTAACGAGGCCAGATGGTTCCGCTTCATGTTAAAGTAAATATCGAATGAGTCATCTGACAAGTGGGTTCTATCCGAGTCAAAAAGGATAACCACTTTTTGAGGCTCCGTTTCTGGGTTCTCCTCTTTTTTAAGATCGAAGCTGATATGACTAAGGTAGTAGTTAAGTAGGACTGTGTTCTTGCTCAAATGGTTAATGAAGAAAGTGTTGCCGCTCATCTCGAGTAACATGGCGTGCACGTTATTCACTTGTTCATGTAACTCCTGTGCGTATTCTGGTGGGTTCTGTTCATGCTCCAATTGCATACTTGCTTGTATCTGTCGTAGAACGTTTTGCAGCTTGGTTCGGCGTGTACGTTGGTCTGACTCGTTTACTTCTACTTCGCTGTCGCAATGTTCGTTTGTGTGGCTTCTTCCCTCATAGTCCATGCCACCTGCTGCTGTTGATTTTCCCGCAGAGGGGTCATTCTGGCCGCCCTGCGACACTTCACTCGGGAAGGACTGCATCAAGGTGACATAAATCTGAAACATTTTAACTCGTTCATCTTCGTGAGATGCTTCAAACTTGTGAACATTGAAGAGGTGGTCCAACATACACACGTACGCGTCTGCATTTGCTACATGCAAGTTCAAGTAAGTGAATAAATAAATTAGTAGAAGCAAATCCTTTGCGTCAAGTGAATAAAATTTGCCACAGAAATGCTTCTCCAATGATGAAAGCATACATAGGGGGAAGTTAAAACACTTTTGTTCCTTCAGGGTCGCTAGGGAGAGTAGAAGAGTTAGACAGCTAGCCGATGGTAGTTCTTCAATAAGGTTATACATAAAAGTATTTAGCTTTTCATACAGGTGATAGTTTTCACATCGCAGCGAGACATACGCCAGGTAAATGTTAATGAGTTTCTTCGCTGCATCAATGCGGTCCTGCTTGTCGAGGGTGTGGTGTGCGTTTAGGAGGTGCACTATTTCGGTGGCCACTCGGTGCATCAGCGGGGCGTTCCTCACGTTTGCGTTGTGGAGGCCGACCAACAGGAGGTGGTAGCATTCGAGGGGCAAGCGGCTTGTCAAGCGGCTCGATATGTCGCCCGGCAAGCGGCTTGACATGTCGCTGTGTTCGTCGCCGGGTAAGCCGCCTGACATGTCGCTGTGTACGTCGCCGGGTAAGCCGCCTGACATGTCCAGGAAGTCCCAAACGACCTGCACAAAATTATTCGCAAAGGTGGCGAAGAGGGAATCCGTCTGGTCCCCCACCCGCACGTTCTTAATATTACTAACGATAAAAAAAAACTGAAAAAATTTATGTACGTCTTGTTCAAAGAAAGTTTGTAAGTAGGGTTTCTCTTTTACAGCTAAGAGAAAATCTTGAATTAGCATCTGAGGCATGAATTGTATTTTCGAAAAGCACAAGGCGAAGAGGAACATTTCATGAATGTTAAATGACGCCATTTTTAGCTTGATATAACCCAGCAGGTTTAAAAATGTCGGGCATTCCCATATGTTTGTTTTCATATCGGAGGATCCCTCGGCTTCTCTACTCAAAACGAGAATTCTGTTTAGTAGGTGCACAAATTTATACGCGTCTATCTCTTTAGGAGCTGCTTTGGGGACCACCCCATCGTCCATTCCCTTCATGTACACGTTGAAATTATTTTCTTTTAAAATTTGTTCCACCAGTTTTATGGTTTTCTCTAGCTCGTCTTCCGATTGGTGCGTCCTCTGCTGCATGTGCGTCCTCTGCTGCATGTGCGCCCTGTGCCGTGTTTGCATGGTGTACCCTATTTGCGCCCCCTTCTGCATTTGCATGCCATGCCTCATGTGCATCCCATGCCGCATGTGCGCACTGGCAACGCTCCTGTGGGGGTGACAATTCGGGGCGGCCAGAGTCTTCACAGCTGTTATTCTGTTACCCCATCCCCGCCGCAGTAACAGGTGGGCTGGGCCCGGGGAGAGAGGAACCCTCATTGTTTGTCCTTCGCAAATGATAACAAGGCGGGGGTACAGCCTACAACGGTGAGCTTTTTCCACGACGTGACGGATGAGGAGAGTTGCCCCAGTGCTGGTTTCAAATGAACCATTCACTCAACCGTGGAGTGTAACGCGTCATGTGCTCCCCATTGATTGGAGGGATGTATCCCCCTAAAAAAAGAAATCACAAAAAAAAAAAAGGGCGTAAAAAATAGTTCCACGACGAAAAAAGGGGGGGGGAAAAATAACCGCGTGAACGCTGTGCAGAAAATCGACCACGGGTTTAGTGCACCTGTTGACTTTTTGCAGCGCCATTTGGCACGTCGCCATTTGCGAGAACCATCATTTCATATTCCACACATGGCGATGTGGAGAAAGGATCACATTTGCAAAAGGGAAAATGTATAACAGTGTACGTCGCCACCTGGTGAGGCGGGAGGATGCCATCCCCATGTATGCTTTAAAATACCATTTGCGACATCACCTTTGTAAAAAAAAATGTAGCGTTTTGAATATGGTTCAAAAATGCACACCGAGGATAATATATACAAAGGAGGGAAAAAAAAAAAAACAAAAAAAAAAGTTAATGAGTTTTATAGGGGTGGGCAGTGCCCCACATGGTTACACAACAAAGGGGGAGAAGACTTTTCTTACTCCCCTGCCCGCCCAGTTGTTGGGTTTGCAAAAAAAAAAAAAAAATTACAGCGCAAAACAATTCGACAGCACCCCTCATTTGTGACGGGGTACACATGTTGCTTAGTACCCCCCGCGCGGTGGTGTTAAGTCAGACGAGGGAGCCCGTGAGAGTGCTGCTCTTCTTTCGAACCACATTAACAAATTTACAAAAGAACAAATTAGAAAAAATTAACAAAATAATGGAGGAGCGAATTAAGTGAATGGAAGTGCCATCCTCACAAATGTTAGAACTTCCATCTGGCATGACACACAAAGGGATGTTGTAAGCTCGGTTCACAGAAAACAGGGAGGAGATCATCGTGATGAGGGCTAAATTAACAAGTACGAAGGAGATATACTTGACCAGCTTTACATTTGTCCCCTTTTTATAATTAAGAAGAATATGAAACAGGAGGCATATTGGTATTAGTAGAAAAAATAATACTGCGTAGAGTAGAATCATGTGATATGTGCCTGCCTTGTTCATGTTGTTCAAAAATTTACACTCGAGATTATATATGGTGGATCCAAAAATGTGTTTCCTCGATAAGACTAGCTTGTCATCCCTTAGTAGCCCTACATGTGCAGGATTTTTCAGTGCATCTGCGAGAAAATCATCTGTTACTTTCCCTTTTGTGGGATCAATTAGATTCTGTTCATACTTTAGCTTATTATTAGATGCTAAAAGGATTAAAAAATTTTCTAATTCTTCTTTTGTAACTGGTTTACAAATTTCATGTCTTATTAGTGACTCCATATTTTGTTCTTTGTCGATGGAAAGAGTAACGTCTCCATTTTTATTTGAAACTTTTTCTACTCTTCTAATGGTTGTTGCACCGATATCAATGTGCACTACCTTCTCGGTGCTATCAGAGGCCAGCTCGATTTGGTGTATCTTCCATGAGTCATAACATATGGATGCTGCAACGAAGGCGAAACATAAAATGTACAGGAAAAAACACAAGAGCACATTGTAGTGGTGGCAAAAAAAATTTAGTTCCTTGGATAATTGTTTTTTTTTTTTTTGAAGAAAATATTTTTTTTCTTTTAAAAAGGTATTGTTAGACATGAACGATTTTATTTTTTCTAAGCTGTAAACCTTTTTATCGAGCCACTCACAGGAAAGTCGTTGTTCCCTTCGCTCAGCATGTTCGCCAGCTGATCTGCATGTAGCCATTCCATCCGTAGTGCCTATACTTCTCCTATGAGCCTCCAAATCAACGCCTAGCATATTTTCATTTTTCAAATGCATGACGAGGTTGTCTTCTGTCTTAATGGAGTACGCGTGACTCTGTTGCACATTTCCCGTCACACTTTCTTTCTTTTGTAACATGATTGGCGTCGGTTGATTGTCCCCTCCTGCGTGCATTTCTGCAGTGGAGATATGGATCGGGATGTGTGTCTCACTGGTGCATCCCTCGTGGACGCCTCCCTGCCCGTTTTGTCCGCTGTACTGTTTGAAGCTTCCACTCAAGTTCTGCTGAGCATGCCCTACTGCACTACCTCCATCTGTGCTGCTGGCACGGCGCTTCTCTCCCATGCCTTCCACAACACAAGCCACCTCATTCATACACATTTGTTCGTCCTTTGCTTTATTGGAGCAAATCTTTTGTCGAAAGAGGCGCAAAAATTTATTCTTATATTTACTTCTATACTCGTCTGCACTTTTGTCTTTGCTTTTTTTCGCCTTGATTAAATCCTTGTTAGGAATTATATGCGTTTCCGTTTTGTCTTTAGCGGTAGGGGAGTGACTGCTTGCTTGGTCATCCCCCTGGGTGGGGCCTCCAAAAGGGTTCCCCCCAACAGCTCCTTCCGCTGCTGCTACTCCCCCGTGGTCTTGCTGATGAGTGGAGGCAACGTGGTGATGGTTGCTTGTGTTCGAAGTGGGATCATCATTTATGTCTCCCTCCTTGAGCACGGCCCCGTATGCCTCCGCTGCGTCACCTGTATTTGCTAATGCAGGTCCCCCCGAAGGGTGTTGACTGTTTATTGGGGTACCCATCCCGGGAGCCCCTGCCAAGCCGAACTTTCCATCTGCATCCTGCAAAATGTGTAGCATGTCGTGTTGATTCTTCATTTGTGTGTTCGTCTCCGTGTCGGTGTAGTAGTGGTCCGCATCGTCCTTGTCTTGGTCAGGTAAATTAATTTCCAAACTATCGCTGTCCCCATTTTTCAAATTGCGTTCACTGAAAATATTTTTTTGTGGTCCCTCTGTACATTTATTATGCATTGATTGGAGTTCATTTTTCACAAGAGTTTCATTCTGTGTGTAATTAAAATAATTATAATTATTCTCTTCTATATTTATTTGTTCATTTTTTGTATTTTCCATGGATGCTAGATTTGAGATTGATTTTTCATCCACCACATGCTCCGTGGAGGACTTCATTTCTTCCATCGAGTCTGTCTCTTTCTTTTCTGTCTCCATGGTTGGCTTGTCACCTTTGCGCAGCTACACGCGTGTGTGTTCAGTGTGAAGAAATATATATAATGCGTACTTGTAACACCGCGGTGCGTAGGTGACAATTTCGTCCTCATACGAGAAAGGCGTCGCCACGTGGACGATAAAAAAAAAAAAAATTGACCAAATGTTGTAGTCCTGCAAAATTCACACAGCAGGAAAACGTGGTACCATTCCCAGGAGAAAAAAAAAAAAAAAAATTGTTGTCAAGTGAATACCGACTCGTCAAAGCTGCCCAGTCGACGTGTGCACCGGTCCGGTTGCAGAGGAAGAAAGGGGAAATACAAAAAAAAAAAAAAAAAAAAAAAAAAAAAAAAAAAAAAAAAAAAAAAGAAACACGAAACACGAAACACGAAACACGAAACACGAAAAGTTGCAAAAAATTGATACAACTACACAGGTGTATTTATATGTGCATACGTGGGTAGGATTTTTTTTTTTTTGTTGTTGTTCTGTTGTGAGAAAAAGAAATAAACCAATTGTTCCTGTATTTATTTTTTTTGCCCCCTGTGTTGCAACGTCAACTGTTGCACGAGTTAGTAATAACGTCGCCCAGGTGGAGGGGATGATGGCGGCGCGAGATTTGCACGTCCTGCATGGCATTCCTTTCTCACTGTGCACATGTGTGTGTGAATTTTTTTTTTTTTTGTTTTGTTTTTTCCTGAACAGAACGCATGTGTTAACCATTTGGTACGTGCGACGAGGGAGACGTATGCGCACTGTAGGCGCGCTCTACCAGTGTGGCAACTGTTGTGTATTTCGCGTTTCGCGTTTCGCGTGGGGCGTTTCGAAGGAATTGCCCACCTTGTGAATATTCTTTTTCAATGTGCTACGTACTCCGTTGCAATTCCAGGGCCATCTTTCACTTGCCACATAAGGGGAAGTGGTGTGGTCGTTGGCAGGAGATTTGTCCCCTACGCAGGGTTGCATGTGTACGTGGGGTGCACAACAGGTGCGCACAGTTCTATGGGTGGAATGGGCCCACTTGCCACGGCCATCGTGTATGCCCCTTTGTTTTGTTTCCAATAGCTACGGACGAACGCGTGTGAAAGGAAATGTGGGGGGCGCTTCTTCCATTTTGATCTTCACCCATGTGTGTACGCCCCTCTACATGCCAACAATGTTTACCCTAATCATGTTCGCGACAACCACAGGGAAAAAAAAAAAAAA